CACATATATATACATATACATATACATATACACACACACATATATACACACACACACACACACACACACACATTGCCAAAAGCCTATTTAATTATGAGATTTTTAGAACTGAGTTATTATATTATAGTATTATTTTATTTTATTTTAGTATTATTTTTCACCCTGTCCATGTATGGGGCAAAAGAAAGATTTGCACCTACAAGTAGAGGGTCTGTCTTAGCAGGAGAAGGCAGAAACAGGAGGGGTTTGTGGGTGATTGGATGGCTGTGGAGTTGGAGAACGGGCGAGAAACAGTAACTGTTTGAGAATTTGGTTCTCAGAATACCGTGGACCTTTAGTGGTGGTTCAAAAAAGAAACTCATATAGAATGTTGAACTCAAAACCTCATTCCATCCTGCCCTTTCACGGCTACCGTGTCACTGCCTGTCTCATTACTCATTCACCACTGTCTGACCACACACACTGCCTCTTTGGTCCAATCTTCGTTTCATAAATACAGACACTGAAGACAGAAATATGCTCCCTACCTCTCGGAGGACAAATTTCTGGTCTACAGGTACAGGTTGCCCTCGTTTTCTGCACAGCTGGACAGTCAGGTAAGTGCTGATGTTGTCTCCCACAATGCATCCAGCAGGTTCCCTCGTGTTATAGCGGATCTCGCCATCCGTGGAATATTCAAAGAACTGCGGGAGAAGACGAAACAGCTGGGTTTCAATCTAAATCTTTTCATGCAAACTTTCTAATGTCAAATAAAAGCTGAATAGAAAAAAATATATTTTTTAATGAATTATTAATAAATTATAGTTTTAAATCTCACTTAGAATTAAGAAAGGAGGTATAGTCAAGGATGTAATTTCAGTCACTGTCAGAGAATCTGTACACGTATATGTATTGTATGTATGCATCTTTATCTGTGACTAGAAGAAAAAGGCATGCAGCAATAAAGAAAATGGACACAGTGTACTGAGAGATAGCCACACACACATACACACACACACACACACACACACATATGTTTACTGTTGGTGTGTGTGTGTGTGCACACAACGAATGGAAGTGTGAATTGAATAGGATTCTGTAACATGCAGAGAGAGCACTCTCATAAGGCAGACAACACAAGCACTGCTGAGCCCACTTCCTACAGAGACGACATCAGTGTGAGTCCACAGAGGGCTGCTGAAATAACGATGGTAAATTTCACAGTGCTTTCTGGACTACTGTCAACCGCAGAGTATAAATGTGTTGGAAAATGCACTCTCCTTTGTATCAACAAGGCCATCACATCATTTTTCAACCTGAGATAGAAGAACCAGTCCTCTATTCCTGGGTTTGTACAACCCCTTTACTGTGAAATAAGGTGACTGTATTACTGACTTAATTTTAATTACTATAAGTCTCTGCAGCTACTGAGAATCATGATTTAGCATAAGAAAGGGGGGAGATGAATCATAATGAGGCTAGTGACTAGGCCAGGTGACACCTACAGGAATACTGGGACTCGCATCTCGCAAGAAGCATTTTGAAATTCTTGTTAGCAAACGTTGTTGGCACTACCCCATATCACTGAAGACACAACAAGGCTCAATGTATCTTGTATAGAGTAGCCTTAAGCCTAAACAGAATGTAGTTTTGATAAGCTAATAGTGTACATGTGTTACATATTTATAATCTATCGGTTTTTAACTGAAAGCATACATTATGCTTTTTTTACATATAAACTGCTATGTGGTAAAGTGGAAAAACATCAGCAACTAGATAAAACACAAGACTAAAGTTCTCAAATAAAGCTGATACTAATAAAATTGTACATTAACAATTTCTCAGTGTTAGAATTAAGACATTTTAACGACCATTACAACTACATTCTATGGCTTATGGCCTGAAAGACTAACGTCCAATACCTGGTTCTGACCCATGCCGTGACATGGGTAGAGGATGACCCTCTGGCCCACCACCATGTGTTCATCTGAAGGGTTGTAGTCAAAACAGTAGTTGGTCTTTCCCTGGTTCTTCAGCTATAATGAGCAAGAAGCAGTCACATCAATTCTTCTTTTCAAGTACTGATAAAATATAACTTACAGAAGCTCAAAATGAATGCCAAAGCTCATCTTAATCAGAGGAAATATCACACTTTTATGCAGTTCATAAAAACCTTTTCAAACCTAGTATGAGTACAGAATAATAATACTTTTGCGTCCATGAAAAACTGTGGTCAAAATTGAAGCAGCGGAGGCCTTTTTTTTGGGGGGGGATACTTCTCTTGTCTGCACTGCTCAGCTTGATTAAACTCAATCAAACCGGAGAGAATTGGTAAATTCTATACTCAAATTTTAAAGCTGATAAGCAGTGACTCGGATGCGTTCTCACCATTCCAAACATGCCTGGCTTATCCTCTGGGACGTGAATGTCGGGGTAAACATTATCCAGATACCACCTGAAGTTCTTGCAGCCCAGCTTCTCTCTGAGCTTCCGCCGCTCTGTCACGTCTCCATAGGCCTCCTAGAAACACAGACCACAAATGATAGTTCCACGGTATTATTTTAGTTCCCAATTCTGCCTTAATATCCATGAACTGCACTATGGATATTACATAATAAGCATCAGTTAATGGCTAATGCATTAATGGTTAATGGTTAAAATAAAGGCCGGCTGTGTGCACTCTTTATGCAGTCAGTGTCAGACAGCTGCAGTGTCAAAAGACGTAATCATAGCATAGTTCTGTGCCGAAATGGTATGCAATAGCGCCATCTATAGATGTTTCATAACTCTACACAATTACATCCATAATAATAACAACAACACAGCCTAGAACAAAGAGCTCTTAACAGAAAACCACTCTTATATCCTAGACAAACAGACTAGGGTAAGAGCAAGTGTCTGTGTGTGCATGTAAGTAAAGGCAATATGTTTGTCCTTAAGTAAATACCTTTATGCGTACAGTTACACACACGCCACAGTGATCATGAACAATGAGTTACAGCACAGGGAAGAACACAGTCTCCACTTTGATTTGCGGGCGAGCATATGTTGACCGTACGTTCCCTGCTGGAGGAAAGGTTCAGCAGCACTGCAGGCTGATGGATGTTGGTGGTTTGCCCAAACACAGCTTTAATTGGCCCTTCATCAATTTATTTGGTCAAGAGAGGGACTCCCAAAGGAGAGAGTCCACTGTCAATGAGAGGGACCAGTAAGGACCATCGGGGGACAATGATGTACTACAGTGTATGAGGTCAACAAGGGGGAAATTAAGGACCAGTACAAGTTCTACTTAAATGTCAACTATCAGCAAATGTCAAAGCATATAGTCCAGCATATGGATCAGTAATGGGGCACAGAAAAAACTTAAGGAGCAACTAGAGGACAATCTGATGTACACAAGAGGCCAGAGAGGGGGCAATTAGTGGGGAGAGTGAAGAGGCAGTGGGAAAACAACCAAAACATGTTTAGAGATTCCTTCTCTTTTGTCTGAGTCATCCCTGAAAAGGATACACTGTTGCATTTTGAATCCAGTTTATTTAGGTTTCACACTACCTTATTACTTATTAACCAAGAGTTGTAAACATAACTCACATGGACTGACAGCTAACTCATCAACAAGACAGTTTGAGTGACTCCGTCATGCTGCAACCCCAATATAATGTTTTCTTTGCTCCGGAGAGGATGACATTGTAATGACCTATTGGAAATATTTAAATTATCCATCAATATATGTATTAGACTTGCTCAAATTACCTAGATTGTGGGCTTGGAACCAATTTAGGACTAAAGGTGGAGGCGTAATGTAGTCATACCAAACTTCAAGTACTAATTATGAAAATAAACATCTCACTTCCTGGATTTATCTCTAGCAAAGGAAGTTTATTGATCCTAAAAGGGCAAAATGTGGAACTCTGTGTGTGTAGCTTCTGCAAAACAGCCTCTGCTTTGACAATGGCTTTTAGCTCTAAGAGATTCAGTGGGAATATACAAAATAATACAACATAAAAATGATTGTTCAAAGCTACAACGAGAGATGAATTATTTCTTTGTAAGGTTTAACAAAATCTGCAAACTGAGCATCTCAGGGTACAAAATTAGCACCAGCCACCAGCCAACTGCTGCAAGTAGACTTGATCACTCCCCAGACGAATAAACAATGGTAATCTATTAAGTGGTTAGTATCTGAACAGTCATTAGCCATTTGGCCAGTAGACATAATATTTTGCACCCTCGGGTATCTGAAACTCATAAAACTGCTGCAAATGCCAGAAAAACAGCAAAAGTAACACACATTGGGTGCTGAAAACCCATATCATAATAATGAATTATTAAATATATTGCAAAATATTTGAGATAACATGCGTCTACCCATAAATCTTAGAAGAAGAGGAGTTTCCGCAGTGTTTGTTTGAAGGGTTTGGTGTATTGGGTTTGTCATGCCACTGCGGGTTTGGCAAGAACACCTCCTCTCAGGGAGATGAGTGCCACCTGATCTGTGTTTAGAGAGCTTCTCCTCTTAACTACACTGTCACACACTGGCCCAACCCCTCCCATCTATGCATACGTACAAAGGCAGGGCACCCCATGGGTTAGCACTGCTCTCACCCTGTCAAGGACAGGTGGGTGACACCCGTTGGCACCGAGTGACATGGAAAGGTGGTAATCACACACCGGAACGCCCTGACACCCCTGTCACCTTGGGTGTCTGCCACTCATGTATCCCAAGTGTCACTTAATCAGGGGAGCTTTTACACCACAGCGGGAGTGCAGTGTGTGTGTGTGTGTGTGTGTGTGTGTGTGTAATCTGTGAGAGCGGAGAGTGCATGTCATTTTGTGCATGTGTGTGTGTGGAACTGAGAGTGTGTACATGGGTGAAATCAAGTGATTAATCAGTCTTACAGTTTTGTGACGACTGCCGCTGTACAAAAACAACAACAACACAAACACAGCCTTCGCAATACTCCATGAAGGAAACAAATAATTAAGTCATTGATATGCTTGCTTAAAAAATAAATAGCTTGTTATGTTTGCTACCTCTAGCACATACACACATGCTTAAAGCACACCATCTGTGCAGGCTCACCAGTCGTGCGTGGGGGTTTCGATGGTAGTAGACCTCTTTGTATTCATCCATCCAGACCTCGGCAGCTCTCACGCTGTTTGCTAGAGCTTTGCTCCGTGAGTAAGGGGCCTTTTTAGGGAACACATGACCCACATGGGAGCACGGGTGGACCTCAAGGCTGCCCCCACACTGCCAAATCTAGGAGACATCAACAACACCGCCACCACCACGAGGAGAATTTGGTTAGCCTCTCAGCCATGATTCAATCGTACAATCAGGCAACACAAAGCACAGCCTTGTTGTGGAGGAGTTTGGAAACAGAGAAGCTGTTTGTTGGTTGAAGGGAAATATTTTTGGTTCCTTCCCTTTGGGAAATTGCGGTTATTGAAGAAAAGGGATGTTCAAATTCTTCACTGCAATTAGAGGATTAGGACATTTGGCCTGTTTTTGCTGGTTGTTTAGTTATACCCCTTAAGGGTTCAGTGCTTGGTAAATGTAAACCAGATCTGGCCCGCCTTTTTAGTGCTGTGTGTTGCGGGTGTTGCCTTTAAAGCTGTTGAATATTTCATTTTAGGTCGCTTGATCATTTACATTATGCAGAATACATGAACATAGACATACAGACACATCATTTCTTACCCTGAAGGAGAATTCCAGGTTCTCTCCTCCCCACACCTCCATCCCTGTGTCGTATGTCCCCAGGTAATGGAAGTAGTTCTTGCTCACAGCAAACAGGCCCCCTGCCATAGTAGGAGACCTGAGGAGAAAAAAAAACATGTTGGACAATAATTTCCCTGCATATTATAAATTATGACTTATGTGGATGAGACAGGTGATACATCAGGATGAGGTTTCGTACCAGCTGACAGTAGTGGTATTATATTAGGCCTATTCTGTAAAGTTATCCCTAAAAAATGTTAACATCACACCTGATGACATCAGTGGACGAGCGACGGCGTTTCTGCTCATAATCTGGGACAGAGTGCCAGGTGAACACCAAGCGCCAATCAAACCCCCCAATCTGAGGTTCACCAGAGTTCCCTAAATACTGGAAGGTGTTCCAGTCGATCACATCGATGACAGGGCAGACGACAGCCGATGGCTCCTCTTTGATCCTGAAGGAGAGAGAAAGAAAGAGAGAGAAAGCACAACAGCACTCCTTAAGCCGGCTGGTAGAGGTTCAGTGCTACACTCTGTGACACTTCAGATGGGCTAAAAGAAGCTCTAACCACAAGGCCACACTTTGACAAACTACTCAGAGGAAGAGTCCTTAAATCCTCCTGCTGAGGGTTTTCTAACCTGTGGAGGAGGGGCTCCAACCAGCCCTCATGACACTCGCAGTGACAGTCCAGGAAGGTCAGCACATCACCCGTAGTAATGGACGCCCCTAGCAACCGGGCCCGCACCAACCCCTCCCTCTTGGTGGCCCGGATCAGACGCACCTTCCTCAAACCCGAGATGTACGTCTCTAATGGCTCCTTCAGATGCGCTTCAGGAAATAAACAAGTAAACAAATATATCAAAACAACACATCTGATAAAAATGTGTTATTTCCTACGTGTGCGTAAGAAGGCGATGCTTGTGCCGAAAGCGGTTTCTCGTGAATAAATGAAGCAACGATTACAATCTGCTACCAGCTTTTAACAGCAGCTGGTAAAGCTGATTGAGAAAGAAAGGAAAATGGTGTTTAAGAGTGTTTGATACACAATCACTGCATCATCAGGGGGCCTTGTCACTAAAACACTAACACTGCAGTACTTGGATGGGTTTCAATAACAAAATGGGTTTTTAGTAAGTTATCTCATTCATCTGTGGCTCTGAGGCAGCCAGCACCCCCTAGATGGTCATTTGATGATATCATTCTGAGGGTTGGTGTGTTGATTTATGAGACTGGATACTAACACATCTGTGCTTTACCAATCTATAACAATATCTGTTTTTCTGCGTTCGCCCTCTGAAAATGTGATGAAGACTAGTTTTCGCTCTCTACACATCCTCCTCAAATGAAAGCAACCTAAAACAGCAAAATCATTGTTTGGTGTAGTTGTTCAGCACTCTGTGGAAGTAGCCAGTGTTAGCGCAGAGGGAGAGGCAGGCATTGTTTCAATGATTGGGTCATGAGCCAAAAAGAACCACTCCCTTAAAAGTGCCTCAGCTTGTCACAGAAAACAAAATAAAAAATGACTTCAAAGTAGAACGCCCTCTTTAATTAGTTCAGCCACATAAAGCCGTGTATATGAATATATAAAAAGATGCTATGGACTAAACGCTCAGACAGGTGACACTGATATCTGTGAGTCTATCAGGAGGTGTATTAAATGTCCCTTTAGTTTCACTACCTGCCACTGCCATCCCGTATCTCTGTTTGTCTTTCCTAATTGCAAACATGTCCGTCTATCTTCCTTCCTCCCCTCTTTCTATCTGACAAACCAGTGCCTGCCACCTGTCTGCGCGCCTCCTTGAGTGTCCCTCTGACAGCCTGTCTGCCCACACAGCCCTTCTGCCTGTCCATCAGTCTGTCTGCTCCAGCGTCCCTCCACCAGTCTGCGGGGCCCCCGTACCTCTGTCGCTATAGTCATCCACCAGCACCACCTCCTTCAGCAGGATGTCAGGCGACGTCTCCAGCACGCTGTGGACCGTCCTCAGCAGGGTGGACCAGGCCTCGTTGTAAAAGGCAATGACCACAGAGGTCGTGGGCAGGGACCGGTAGTCGTACTTCAGCTCTCTGCAACTGCAACATAAGGAAGTTGTTAGGAGAGACAGATTGGCAGGGACGGGGGACAGGGACAGGGAGGTGGGGCTGGGTGAATGGAGCTTAAAGCTTTGTTGCCTGAGTAAATACCCAGGTTTGATCAGCAAAAGAGCACAAAAACCTTTAGATATGGCAACAAGCAGTTATTACTCAACAGCAAATGACTCACAAGTCTGACTGCAATGTCTCAGAGGCAGTTAGTGAGTTAGCAAGACTTCAGCAGTGTATAAAAGCCCCTTTAACTTTATTACAATGGTGTCTCTTTGGTGTAATAGCAGACACCACTCCACTAGTTACTTACAGTGGGTTCCATCTCTCTGGCAGCCTGCGGTGCAGTGACACTTTATCACTGACATAAGTGTTGATCTGATGCTTTTTAATGCTCTCCTCCTCGTTCCTCTTCTCCTCTCCGTTCAGATTCAGTTTGACGGCTCTCCCCATTTCACCGGGGGCATTTAAATCCAAGGGGGGCCTCTCGTAGACGGGTCTCTTGAGCTGTTCGTTGTCCACCTCTCGCTCCCCGGGGGCCTCTCGCCGATTCGTCGCGCTCACGTCTCCGGAGTTGTGTCTGAAAAAGACGACGTATCCCACCAAAGTGACGCCGAAGAGGCAGAAAAGTAACTTGGGTCGATTCCTCCTTCCGCAGACTGCCATGGTGTCGCTTCCTTTGCTTTGGTGCGGAGTCGGGTTGAAGTTTCAAGCCCCGAGGAGCTCCGCATACTTCCAGCCGCTCATTAAGTTCCCATTCGGTCCTAACAATGTCCAATTTACTAGCTAGTGAATTTTAAACTTTTGGTTAGATACTTGTTGAGCTCTTGACTGACGTTGGACCAATACACTCCTCCTCCTCCTGTCCCTGAAGAGAAGTGTGAACGGATTAACAAACTCGGATTAAGCTAGTTATCTCCTCGGATTAGCTAACTATAAGGACCTAACCATGAAGGGCTCCAGCTGGAAACTAAACTAATCTAGGTCAAATCAAAGAGAGAGAGAGAGAAAACGGTCCACTGTTTCCTTTAGTTTTCAGCCAAAATAATTAATATTAAAGTAAGCATTTATAAACTCGTCCTCGGGGTTGTAATGTGTGTCCAGCCACTGGCTCAGTAACCCGTCCAGCAGAGGTTACATACAGCTGCAGGAATCAGGATGAAGTTTTTGTCTGCCGGCTACTTGAATTTGAGGGGAAGTTTGAAACAACGTCAAGTTAGCCGAGCTAGCGAGTACGTTTCCGGTTTGCGGATGTCAAAGTAAAATACGGTTACATTTATAACGGCAGCTAAGAAACGTTTTTTTTTTTCTTTTTTTGGGGTTGATCAAAAAGGCACGAAAAGTCATCTTTTACACAAAGGAACGAATACATTTGTTTTAACCAAAATGCCCAGTCACTTTCCATGTAATAAAACTTTAAATAATATTTAATGTGTATGTTTAAGTGTATAATAAGTGTATTGTAATATTGGTTTCTAGGATTCATTAGAAAAAAATGGATTTGTATTCTAGATATCCTGTTCCTGTTCCCATTAATGTGTCAAGAGGTGGATTTTCTTTACCACCACTGCTTCACGTTCGAGTGATGCCACAATTCTTACGCTTTTAACTTGAAGGCAGCCGGATGTTCAACCGGAAGTTTAATGTATTGACAAAGTTGAAGTTCAACCCCTGTACCTGCAATTAAATCTTTCACAAGAGACAAATGTTATAGTCCGAGATATTTAAACTCAAACAGACACTTTACTTTCAATAAGTGTTTTTCCAAATATCAGCTAAAGAGAGTTCATTTATAGACTTTCGACTAAAATACACATACATTATATACACTATGTTATATAATAACCCCTTCAACGACCCTGGGAGAACCTACGACCTATAAGCTTAGAAATCCTTTACCTTGGTGGTCTTGTTTTATATGCAGCCAGTTGTCACTCAAATGAAACTGATATGAAAACTCTTGACACCAAAGATGAAATCTGACACAAAATGTATGTTTAAGCAAATTAAAATTGTAAATAATTAAGGCGACCTTTGAAGGCGAGGGGGTAATTTGAGTGGGCATAGTGTTTGATCGAGTACCCATATTGTGAAAACTACAAAGAGACACGGGAAGGCAACAAGTCAGCCGCAGTGTTGTAATATGCCACGGTAGACTGGGCTCGTCGTGTCTGTCAGAGACATAATATTAACGTGACTGCATGAGGGCGTTTTCATTTAGGACCGGGTGATGGATGACATTTTCCATGCAACAGATATTTGGTGCAAATGTATTAACAGGAAAGATAAAACAACGGTGAGCTGCACACACCTGAGGGCTGCTGAGTTATTATCCTCCCTGTTCTAAAACCTACCACAGACAGGTGTATGTCTGGAATAGATAAAATAAAATAAATAAAAGTTAAAAAATATGGGATTTATTCATTCTAGATACTCTAATATGAGTTTTCATTATGATTATGAAATATGATTTTTATTGTTACTTTCATAATTCCTATCTCTCAACAATTAAATTTTTTTAATTAAAACATTTAATAAAGAATTAAAATGCCAGTGTGAAACTAATCTATCATAGGCAGTGAGGAAGAGTATTGAAAGAATGTACTGGATCAGTGACAATGCACATAGTTGCACCTAATCCTTGATCAACTTGTCTCTGACAGGGTAGGAAAGTGGTGGAATCTGTCTGTCACACCCCATGTCAGATTGTGCGACTGTTAATGACTGTGCTTGAAGCAGAAAGATAAGGGTTTCACACCCCAAAACTGTGACAGTCACATTGAAAAAGCAGATGGACCGTTGCAACATACAGCCTAGCAAAACCAGCACAACCTAAAGGGCATGAGGTTTAAAGTTGTCAAACCACAAAATCTATCCTGAGAAGGAAATAAATAAGATGGCACTCGAAAAGGAACATGCCACCGAGCTGTCACTGTGCAACCAAAGGCATGAAGGAATGTGAGTAATGGCCCTACGACAGCTCAACCAGTTTTTTGTTGGGTTACATCCTGTATGGAGAGGCATAAAGGACATTTCTATGAAAGGAGCCAACTGTATGTTGGAAAGCACATAAGCTAGAACTTTAACACATAGGCCTACATGAAGTCCACAATTGTTTGCTGAAGGTAAACCTCAAGAGATCCGGCAGTCAACAATCACCACACATACTATTTATAGCAGAAATACAGATCTGTGCTCTGCAATTCAGTTAATATGCAGCTAAACTGAAACAAACAATTGATCCTCTGAATGAATCATTGCAAATATCACTGACTACCTTTATATCCGTCCTCCTGTGTTTTGGTTTTGCTCCATTTTCTGCCTCATTACTCGAGCCTCACTTAGCTTTATGCAGGAGGCCTCCTCTGGCCCTCTGAACAATGTTCCCATCTTCCTCTGTTGATCCGACCTGAGCCATCAGGTTGTACAAAGACCACTGCTCACACCTCTCACCTCCATTAGAAGATGATATATATTCCCTGAAAAGATTAAAACAAGCAATTTACAGTATAATTGACTTATTTTTAAGTCCAAAATATAATCCAACCATACCTTGGATGTTATGCATTGTTGTTATGTTTTATTATTACTAAAACTATGATTTGAAAAAATATTAACATAAAATATGATCTATCTACACATACCTCATGGAGGTATTATTACTGTAAACCACCATGCTAATATTAGAACATGTATACGAATAAACCAAATTCAAAACAAAAAGTCACATAACAACCCGCCTCCCTCAATGTTTACCACTAAGGTTAAAAGCCTCCACAGTCTTTCAAATGTTTGCATCTTCCTGAATACATCATGTTGTGACATTAAATAGCTTCGGTAGCAATATTTATTACCCCAGTCATTTTCTGAGCCCAAACTTTGGTCTCATGGCTTTTCACCTGCCATCACCAATTTGAATTCTTCTCCTGACCATGGACTGCAACTAGTTTTCAGTGTTATTTGTTATTTTACCAGTAGGTGGCGCCAAATGACAGTGAATGCATGTGGGATGCTGTGGGAGATTCAGCTTTTAGTAAATTCATGTTGTTAAATTTTCACAAGTAATGAACCAGCCACAGCTTAGTTTTGTTCTTTTACTGTATGTGGCACTGATTTAAAAATAAATATAAAAGCTGTACAACACACAGTGTGCAGAGCTGAGACAGAAACAAGAAAATGACAACGTGCATCTGTGGTTAGTTTTTTTTTATTCTTTCAATCATCCCAACAATTGTAATCTTCCTTTAAACATCAATCCCATTTCAATCACCATTTTCCTTCATATCAAGTAATCATCATCCCTTTTGCATTATCAGTAGTTTTAAAAGGTGCTTTATGGTAGCACTGTTCCCCTCTGGTCCCTTAAACAAACCATTATTTACAAAAGTTAACACAAAACAGGAGTCATCTTATGTTTCCCCTCTGTATCCATTGACTAGTATGAATATCTCATATTCAATAAGTCAAAGGACCACAGACACCAAACATTGCTCGGTGATAAGCAGTCTTCAGCAAATACAGCTGCTATTCAACAAACATTTCAACAACAGTTGCGTCTCTTGGTCCTTGAATCCTATTAGAAACACCAACAGGGTCTTCAGTGGAAAAAAAACAAAACAAAACAAAACAGGAGAATTTTGGATGTCTTTTCAAGTACAGTTTACACACAGGAGTCTTAACAAACAGTCTGGCACAGCCAAGCTGAAGGATTAAATTAAACAGGCGCTACCTTTAAGGCTTTTTGTGTCTGAATAGAAAGTGCATCAAGCCAGTGTTGTTTTAGCTTTTAGCATTTTAAAAATGTTCTAAATACATTTGACATCCACTGGCACATTTCATTTCGGCACAAACGCGTTCTTTTTAGGACGACGACCTTTTCAAAGGCACAGTGACAGATGGATTTCGAAGGTATTCTTAATTTTTACACGGGAAAGGGAAGAACAGATTACAACATTCCTGTCAACTCACTGAGCCCTCTGGGGCAGATTGCACTTAGTACAAATGCTTAATGAATGCTTCAAGTCTTGTTCAGGCAGCATTCTAGCATGAAACTGGCTCCACAGACGAGAGACAGAAGTGAGAAGCAGTCTAGTATGACTGCTGCGCTCTCTCCCCCCTGCCCGTTTTCCTCTCACATGATGGAGCATGTTAGGAAGCAGCTGGTTTGGGGCAAAAAAAAAAACTGAACTTACATTCCTGGCACGTCTTCTTTGAGCAGCACCTCTTTAAATTTGTTACTTTTTGACAACTACAACAACATCACATGAGGATTTAGCAATAATAATTAATATTAATTGCACATCAAGGTACCATTCTGTAGTGCAACGTGATTTTGCATGTAATTTTTCTAGGAAATACTCGGTCTCCTATCTTGTCGAAAGGCACTTCTTCAATATATGCTGGACAGTCAAATCAGTGTCGCTGCTTTCAAGTTGTTGCATTAGATCAGAAGAACACATGACAATAATGACACTTCAAGATGTGCGCTGGACTCCATTTTGGTTGCAGAGGCACTTAGATGAAAGCAAAACGAAAAGTAAAAGTCTCAAGTTCAGCAGGTCTCCTTAGAAAAAGACCAAATAAACCTCTCCTTGTTATTATCATTCACTCCGCCGCAATCTGCACTTATTCAGTCATTCACATGGGTACAAAAGCACTGAATTGGGTGAATCATTGGCTTAAAGTGACTTTCTTTCACCGCCTTTTATTTGCTCGCCGTTCCCATTTAAATGGAGTGCAAACGTGGAGAGCGGGAGAATTGGGAGCAGCGCAGAAGACATCCACTGTAATAATTGCACTATGGTAAAAACAAGGTCACTTGAGGTTCCCTGCTACTTTCCTCTCCTCCTCCATCTACCACTCAAACTTCCACTGCTGGTTTTTGTCTCCGGGGGTACACCGCCTCATCTGGGCGTCCGTGCGGCCCTCGGCTGTGCGGTAGGCTGTCACACACATGTCTGAGTGAGGGTGGTAGATGGTCTCGTCCTGAAAGGTTTTAAGGAGAAAGTTTAGAGACAGGATAAGAATGTGTAGAATAATAGGTACCTGGGGTGTACTTGTGTGTGACCCCCTACCTTTCTGAACTCCCAAACGATACTGGGGGGTTTGAGCTCCTTATCACTAGGGCAGTGCCTCATCCCGATGGAGGTCTGTCCCTCGGGTACTTCAGCACACAGCTCTGTCACCGAGTTGAAACGGATCTCCATTTGAGACGTGTATTCAAAGTACTGGAGGAGAAGACAGGTGTGATTATTTGCTCTGTATATACACAGCTTGAATATGTGTCTTTGTCATGAAATGAAAATGACATTGGAAGAAAACAAACAAGCAGTAGTCTCTTGAGATTAAAACACTACTCTGCCTCCTTTCCAACTGTTTTGGTACATCTGTCTTTCTACCTTAATCTCTCTTCTTTATTAGGAATGCCTTTCAACCAGCACAGCAGTGCAGTTTGGCATGTTTACTAGGATTACAGGATGTTTTCCTCTTACTCTGCTGTGGGATCAAGTCCTGGCTAAGCTACCATTGCATGGTGTGTCTGCGTGTGTGTCGAGGGATCTCATCAGTGAAGACTTGGCGCTCTCGATCAACCAGACGTGAACAAAAACCCAACTCCTCCCCTCCTCTGGTATCATTTCAATATCCAGGCCAAATGGGACAAAAGATGCCACACTCCCTGGGCTACCCGTTAAACGGAGGGTCAGGTAATCAATCTTCATACTTCCCCATCCTTCTCTTCACATCTCATACATCTTTCAGGTGCTTCGGGGCCCATAATGGTTGTTTCTAATAAAAGACTCACACGGGGCCCCTGTGTCTGGCTTCAAACTTATTTACCCAGGCTGTGCCATTCATCCTGCCTGCAAGGCTCATGTATCTTTTAAAATGGAACGTGGTTCTTATGTGGGCCAGGGAAGGGGGGAGCAGGAGGGAGGCGGTGAAGGGCCCTCAGGTTTTTGTTTCAGCGGGGAGCCATTCAAACATTGATTTTCACTCACACATGGTGCTTTTTGTGACTGGGGACACCTGATGCGGTGCATCAGTCGGGTAATCAGAGATATCAAGGAGGTTGGAGATTCACAGAATGGAGCTCTGCCTATTGTCTGACTGCGACATTAAATATACATCCTCACAGACAAATAATCTGCCAGCTGCTAAACCATCCATCACTATAGTTGGCAGGCATTCAGTTTAAAAGTTCCACTGATTCAATTGTGCGATATTTGTGGGTATATGGGATACAATGCCAAACTAACTTCTCCCTTCATTACATTCAAGTCATGCTGGACACACCAGCAGAGAGCAATTTTCTGGTGTGAATCAACTGTGGCAGCTCGTTTTAGGGGTTAGCAGAAAGCGTTGACATTTCAAGATACATCTCCCACTGGACCAAGAGAGGTTGCGAGAGTGTGACAGGAGAGAATACGTGCACGAGAGAGAGATGGAGAAAGACAGAATAAAAGTGTGAAATGCACCTACCTGGTTGCCTCCCTGGCCGTGGCAGCCAAACAGAGATAGGTGTGCGCCTGTGGGACTGTGCTCTGGAGCGTTGTAGTCCAGACACTCCGAGTGTATCCCTGAGCTTCGCACCTGGCAGGAGGAGAACAATAAAATTATCAATAGAAATTAAAACAATGTGCTTTATTGGCTCCTGTGAGGAAAGTCAGACTGTAAGGTCACAGAACAGAACAGCACCACTGAAGCAGGGAAAATTCAGTCCCAATTTTTTAACAAAAACAGACTTTTTCCTGCTGTTTGCTTATTTTCCACAAATAGAATACTATTAAGACATCAATATGAAATACTTTACCTGTTTTTTTTATTTTTCCACATGCTTTCATTTCAAAAAGCCAGTATTTATACCTCTGAGAAAATGCCATATTTTCAGGTTACGTCATTGTTGGTACTGTAGGCTTGTATACAAATTTTAGATAATATCATTAAAGATTTTTGGAAAATTACCTTGTTACATTTAACATGTGACTTCACTGTTGTCAGGGTAAAAAAGTGGCAGCAAGTTTGTTTGATCGTTCTTCTACCGACGCAATGGTTACACTGTGGAGGCTGAAATTTAATCATTTTAAAGCCAACCAAGAATTTTGTACAACAAATTTTACTTCACCAGGTGTCTGGATTATAATGGTCTTGATCCCAGTCCAAATGGGTTTCAAAGCCTTTGTTTGTCTTAGTTCAGCCTTCTCACTTTCAACAGGATTTTCCCATATCATGCCACTTTATAACATCTAGTTTCCGACTCAGAATAGATGGAATTAAGAAAGCAAGACACAACTAGGCTGGATACAGGATAAATAATGGAATACACATATAGATAGGAGACACTTACAGCCCCATGCCAGCCCACCCTGTCCTCAGGTACATGTAGATCAGGGTAGATATTCTTCAAATACCAGTCAAAACTGTTGCATTTCAGCCTCTTCCTCAGCAGCAGCCGCTCTGAGATATCACCATAGGTCTCCTGTAAAGTAAGTACACAATGAATAAGTCATCCTTCCAAGATTGTGTCTGAAAATCTTTATATACAAGTTATATTAAGCTAACAGGAGAGGATGCTACCGTTTATTAAGGATACGCCTAAATAAATGCAAAATTAAAAAAAAAAAAAAAAAAAAACAGTCACACCATTAAAGTAAACATTTACATCCTGGATATGACAGTTGGATCCTACACAGGAGTCTCCACATCCAACAGCATAACAATATCACCAGGAAACCAAACAGCAGCTGATTGGTCACACTGAGATAGCAGTGTTTGCTGAGGCGGGGAACGCCACCTTAAGCAACTCAAAGTCCAGAATATTCACACACCTTATATCTTCTCACTGTCTGAGGGTGAAATGTAACTACTGGGTTTCACAGATGCCTAACATTTTCAGTCACAAACGTACTACTGTGCTCCCAGCCAGTGTTTCGAGATCAGAATACACAGACAATGTTGCTGAGATAAACAACGAAACAACGATAAACAAGAAGAAATAAACGAGCAAACCAATAAATAAGATGTTAGATGTCTTTTAATCCGCTCCTGGCAACAACAACCATTCTACAATAAATCTCCAAATCCAGGATACAAATGTTAAAAAATGTAATGGTAGGTGTTCTTGTGAAAAACAGGCAGGTATGGTAACTGATTTTAACAATAAATCGGGAAGACAGTGAAGTGGTCATTCATCTATTTGAACATCATAAATCAATATAAGTAACTAAATTTACTTAATAAAAAAAGAATTATGTACTATTCCAAAGCAATATTACTGTCGATAGCTCTATATCTGCTAATATATTATGACAGCAGCGTAATAGCTTTAGAGCTGGGGATCTGGTCTGGCGGTGCTGTGTTCAATCTCCCCTTGACCAGGTAATTTATTGTTTGATCAAAGATCCCTGACATTAATAATGTACTTTTTTTTTCAGATAGGTGAAACTGAGATACATGAAATTTTGATGAAGCCCAATACTCAGAACCTGAGAGGCACACGGGCACACGTTACCGCACGCACACTGGTGCACGCCCTCTCGCGCATACACCCGACCCAGTCAGACAGACAGTGTTTCATCATATGTTGACACTGGTGAGTCATATCATATGAAACATCTAAATCTAACATCAAAGGTAAGCTACTCTCTGTACCATATTAACATGACGCTGCCAGGTGTAACATGGCATTACAGCAGCGCTTCAGGTTAGTACAAGCTGGATGAAAAACAAGTGTGTAACAGGCTAACCTAGCCAGAGCTCAGTGACTAGAGAATGTATTTGTCCAAATATGATTCGGAGAGTATTCCGAGGTTAGCTTCTTGCATTCCTCATAATAGCATTATTTAAACAGCATGTCTAGCTCGATGTACTGTTTAAAAATGTGGTTCTTTTCATTTGTAGCTGTCCTACCTTTCTGGCCGGGGGATTCCTGTTGTAAAAGTGTTGTTTATAGGAGTCCATCCAAACCTCTGCAGCTCGTACGGTATTCTGGAGGAAGTTTGGCCGTGCATAAGGGGCCTTTTTAGGGAAGACGTGGCCCACATGAGAGCAGGGGTGAATCTCCAGGCTGCCCCCACACTGCCACACCTGAGGGGTGTTAAACACATGACATACCATATATGAGTTTCCTTTAACTTCATAATATTGCTTTTTTATGTTTTGTGGAATACAAATTCTAGATGTTTGTGGTTGAATGATACCCCAAAGCCCAATCCCTGCACACAGTGTATGTTTATATATACCCACTACACGATTAAATATTGACAAATAAAGAATAATGGAAGCCAGAATCAGAGAATCAGCACAGATATGGTTATCATTAACCAACTACATTGTCTATTGTACACCATGTGTGAAATGTCACAATAATTGGTGAACTTTGGCACTAGTGTCTGTAATTTAAGTTACTTATCTGCTAGCAATGTTATTGTAGGTTAATTTGTGGGTAGCAAATAGTAAATCTTTCAAATTGACAAACAGGAGTCATTAGCAATAAATATGCTTGATGGGATCAGACCTTAAGCATGTATTACATTTTATACATATGAAAAACCTAAATGTCTGCTTGGAGGAGGATACAAACCATAATACAGACAGAATGATAATGATTGTGGTGACTGTTGCTATGACAGAAATCCTCTCTGAATGAAGAACAAAGCTGCATGCTCTTTACCTTCTATCTCACCATGAAAATTCAACCCCTGCTTCTTGTGAGTCATGTTTGGAAAACAGCTCTGAATTACGGCATAAATTTTCATTGTGTAATTGCTTGATCTTCCACCATGGAACAAAACAAGAAGGATAAAACAACATCCCTAAAGAATGAAATGTTGTTAACAGTCCTTCCTAATACTTGGCTGAGATGTGTTCCAATTACACAAGGCAAAATCATTATCATACATCCATAGCCAAACAGCCATTAAATGGCAAGTCCCTTCCATCTTAATTCACCAGGCACTTTACCCCTGCACCATATCTTTTTAGCACTCCAAAAACAGGGTTGAAAACCAATTCGCTACACATAAATTATGTATGGAAAAAAGTCCCAGCGAGAGGCCTTTTTATTTCCACATGCATAACGCATCGCTCAGGGGAACAGCCAATTCATCTTCACACTAAAACCACATACACACAATAAATCATGCACACACTATTTACACTGCTTACCCTTGAATGCTCCAGCTACAAACTCACACTTAGCCTAAAATCTGTGCCAATTTGATTGACGCAAACAAGTGAAAAGTGACACCAACGTCACAACAAGGCATCAGCCAATATCAGGCTGCAGTTTCAGCTGCCATGGCTGACTGTGATCTGACACTGACATGTGTCTCTCTCACATCAGCTACCCACTGACTGGATGAATCAAAGGATCACGGGCTATGAAAGAAACATTCTCTGTGGTAATGAAATGTCAGTAAACGTCAATTCATTGATGTTTCTGGGTACTATCATGGTAACAAACAGACTGAGTCAATGGATGTTCTGTCTGTGAGTAAGGGATTTTGGTTAGTCACTCTTTCCCTACATTTCTAAAAGCTGGTCTCATAGTGGCACCGCAGTGGTAAAGGAGTGTGTCTGCTCTGTGGTCTGCACTGAAGGAGAACTGAACTCACCCTGAAAGAGAGCTCCAGGTTTTCTCCTCCCCACACCTCCATTCCCATGTCATATGTGCCCAGGTACTCAAAGTAGGCCTTGCTCACAGCAAATAATCCACCTGCCATTGTCGGAGACCTGGGAGAAACAGTGACAATAAGGCGACTATATAATGCACATTTTTAACCCTACATTCCCATCCCCTCCCACAAAAGAATGCCCTTTTTTGAATCCAAAACAAATGTAGTTACTCAACTGTCTTAATACTCCACCTTTAAAAGATATGAACCACCTTATTAAAAGAAGCCTTTAACCTCTTCAACTCCACCCTTCCCATAGACCAATATATAATATCCCATATTTTTTTTCTATTTTTTTTTCAGAGAGGGGACAGGGGATCTTAAGGGGGAGATAGCAAATCAACAGTATATGCCACAAGTGGTGTACATCATCTGAGAGCTGGGGACTTGAAGATTAATTTGAGATTGAGCTTTCATCCCTGTTTATCAAGTACATCTAGTGATACATCTGTAATCAAGATTGTGTTTTGGTTAGGCAGCTAATTAAGTTTTGAAAGTTTAGAGTGTATAAGGGCTTAGAGCATTATGAGGGAAGTGTATGATTGTCATTTCCATGCTCAATTTTGTCTCATAAGTTGCTGCAGCAATATTTGGGTTGATACCATTTGTTACACAGCAGATTTGATGCAAGATTTAACCATTTTGACAACTTGAGAATTCACAAACAAATGCAGAAAATACCACCTTAAAAACACAATAGAATCAAAACCTTCAGACATTTGGAGATTTCTGTAAGAACTGGATTATTCAGTGATTGGAAGGCTTCTGTTCTGGAAATTGCTCAGAAACCCACTTATTGTCTATATACATAGTAAAGCCATATATCCTCCGAATGCTCTCAGTTTGTGATAGTGCAGTTTCACAAGGCTGTGATTATCCTGGTAACAATAAGTCATTTTATACAGTGAGGTCTCAAGAAGGTCAGGTTTCAAAAATGGTCTCACTACAATGAAGTGGATAAATAAATACAATTGGACTCACTGAATCCACAAGAGTATCAGCTTTCCTAGCATACCCAAGTAATACAATTCTAATAGTCTTAAGGGACCTCAGTATGCCAAAATATTCTAATACACTAGGTGAAAATAGGAAATGTATTCTGCATGCAATGGGATACATGGGATTAGCATAAAGTGGGCATGTATGTAAAGGGAAGACTCGTGGGCACCCATAGGACCAACTTTCATTCAGATATATTGAGGTGAGAGGTCAAGGGGACCCTTTGAAAACAGACAGTTTTTCTCTTGCCAAAATATACCCTAACTTTGGAGCGTTATTTTGTCCTCTTCCCAACAAGTTACAATGACATGGTTGGCACCAATGGATGACTTAGTTGAGGTAGTTTCATATCGTCACTCTAACCCCGCTGTAGCCTCTGAACAACAGCAATGTCAAGGAAGTAGGAGTTTTAGTGGTTAAAGAGTAACCATACCTAAGATAATAATCCCGCTTGTGGTGCTGTGTTCTGCCCACACCTTGTCATGATTTCACAACGCTAAATGCAAACATCATGCATCACGTTTGGGTGTGTTCACATAAAGTGCAACAGTACAGTACAAACGTACAGTGACAAATTAAGAGGGAGAGGTGTATTATTGCGAGCAGAGCTGTACACTGGTACTGGTGCCAATCTGATAAAGTGATCTCCCATGAGAGTAGACATTCTGAAGTATCATGCTGTCACCTGATGGGGTCAATACGAGACTTGCGCCTCCTGCGTTCTACTTCGGGGACTGAGTGCCACTGAAAGGTGAGTCTCCAGTCAAAACCTCCGATCATTGGCTCATCCGTTTGCATGTAGAACTCAAAGGTGTTCCAGTCAATGGTGTCAATCACAGGGCACACGATGGTACTGGCATTCTCACCAATCCTAAACAAAAAGCATGACCAATAACATGCAGAACGAAACAGAGAGAGGGAAAAAAGAAAAATATATGAAACTCTGGTTTAGTATTTGGTATTGCTTCCAGTTTTGATTTGCATTCAGGTGGAGTGCGTACAAATTTTCTTTTACAAAGGCTCTTACGCATCTAATGTGGTCAACACACCTTTCTAGCAGAGGCTCAATCCAGCCAGGGACGCACTCACAGTGGCAATCAAGGAATGTGAGTACATCACCCGTAGCATAGGTGGCACCAATGAGTCGTGCCCGGACCAGACCCTCCCTCCTGTTGGTGCGGATGAGCCGCACGCGTTGCAGATTGCTGATGTAGTCAGCTAGCTGGGATTTCAGGTAGCCTATATTTCATAGGACAGAAAAAACATCAAACCATGATTAGAGATACACAGGCACTTCCAGTGGCTTATAAAGATTGTTATGGATAACATGTTAGAAAACCACTTTCTAATCTAGAGCCAGTGTTTGGTTTGTCCCTTCTGGGCTACTGTGATTAACATGGAGGACTCCATAAAGGCAACCCGAGGCGTCTGTAGATATAAAAGGTTCATTCTAAGGTAACAAAAACATAACGATTCCTATATTCAGGTGATTGTACACGAATGAAAACACAGCTATGAATATTATATTCTATTTCTGCCAATAGAGCCGCTTAAATGTTACACACTGGACCTTTAAAATGGCTGCCTTCCCCTGGGTTGATCAGTGCGGCTTAGACTCAATTAAAGTTTAAAGCAGGTTTAACCACTAACATTACATTCAAACACTTGCTGATGAGGGAATTATTAAATTGTACATTTCAATATCAGGGTTTTTTTTAATACATCAGGCATTTACACACATTTCATGGCCTAAGGAAACTTAAGGTCAACACAAGGCTTGGTTTGCTAGACCCTGTTCAACCAGGTTAGAAACATGAGAGAAAGCTGTCACTCCTGCAGTCCCTGTCTTGTCTGCAGTAACCGTTCTGGTCGGGGAGTGGCATGTCTAGCATTGCATTTGGTCGGGGTGGTCAGAGGAGAGGAAATGATGTCAGGGCAGCTCAGTGCACACTGAAGTAATCATTATGGTGTAATGTCTCCGATACACACAGACTAGACTAGCTGGGAAAGAATACTAATTCCATTAAGACAGATGGACATCAAGCTACTCCTATATCCAGTTTCGGAAACAAACTAATCATTCTCTGAGTTAGCACGGGTCTGCAGAAATCGGTCCATATTCCATTTGCTAATGAAGACCACAAAACGTGCCCAGAAGCTCAGAAAAGCTAGTAAGGGGACCTTTGAGTTGAGACTATTTTGTCACATATACTGCTCATACCTATGTCACATGGAGGCTAACACTGTACAGCTACATTCAAGACATGCAATAGTTCTTGTTTTGCCTGCTTGTCTTCAGTTCAACAGTTAAATCTAAAATGGGCTGGAAAAATGAGTCTGCAATCAAAACAAAACCTCATATTCACACAGAATGAGAGAAGCAGAGGTTGGAGCAGAGACTGACAGGGAATAGGACAAATAATTTGCAATTACTTTGCCAAGAATTAGCTTATTCATTAATGATTGTAGCAGTTTTAGCAAAAATAATTTAAAATGATCACAAATGAATCAAAGCCTGCGTGTCATTAAAGGAATGTGTCCAGACTCGGATGTTTTGCATTCTGAACTATCCAGAGGCATTATCTATTCACCGCTCCATAGATAGCATCTTTTCTCTATATTTATTCCTGCTTGACTCGTTCTCTTGTACAATGTCAGTGTGAGGAAATCAAAGCACAACTGAGGTCTGGTTAGTCCGCTTTGCTAAACTAGGCCAAGACTGTCAGACCTGTTTGCTTCTGGGCTTCTGTCAGTTTTTTTTTTTTTTTTACAGACAAAAAAATGTTTTGTAATGTTTATTTATTAGTGTAGAGGGTCAGACCTCGGTCACTGTAGTCATCAATGAGGATGATCTCTTTCAACAGGATGGCTGGCGTGGTCTCCAGGACACTGTGAATAGTCCTCAGCAGGGTGGACCAGGCCTCGTTGTAGAAGGCTATGATCACCGAGGTGGTGGGTAAACGCCGGTAGTCAAACTTCTTACTTCGGCATCTGAGGTATGTTTGTGTGTGTGTGTGTGGGTGGGGGAAGAGACATACACAGTTGACGCAGGCAATAGCACACATGTACAGTACATATTTACAAAAAACACAACAGCACCCTAGATGGACTCATACAAGCACAAAATGATGTTTTCGTACGGTCAGAGCGGCTTCAGCAACTATTGCGGCAGTGGGAGGTGTCTGGTCTTAATCCAGATGGCAGTCATTAAAACAATAAAGAGCTGCAGAAATATGGATGGGGGTGGGGAGGGTATCACACCAGTGAGCAACATACCACAGCAGTGCTCGGGGAGAGACCACAGAAACTTGAACAAACAGAGACGAAGAAAGGAGAACAGAGAGAGGAAACGGGGCAACGCTGGATGAAAATTAGAGTGAAAAACTGGAAACTGGGGGGATGAGAACAAGGAAGCATGGAGAGAGAGAGAGAGAGAGAGAGAGAGAGAGAGAGAAAACACATGAGAAAGAGAAACTGTGGGCTAAATTTTTATGAATCAGTGGCATACAACACTGAGACTGCAACCTCTGGCACAGGCTGAATTACCTAGAGGCAGAGGCTCTACCCACAACAGTGACGCTGTTGGAAGTCAGCTGGGATAAGAACAAATATGTTTTGTTCTGGCATTAGTCACAACCAATCAAATAAGGTGTTTACCCTCCCTCGAAAGGCAACCGTGTTCATCATGCTGCAACACTTTAATGATGGAGAGAGAATTATAAAGGGAATCTGCCACATAACCTGCTCCCAGGAGGAAACTGATGTAACTATAGAGAAGTTGCACAACTGCAACAAGCGTATACACACCACCTTAAAATAAATAAGCCTGAGAGGAGATAACACATTTGCTTACACTGTTGCTAAGCATAAAGCCAAACAGAAATGTAATGCAATTGGGATAGTTTGACAACAAGAAGGCGCATTAACTATAGGTTAATTGATATCTGTTACACACTTGTAACAGCCCATAATGACTGACTGAGTCATATGCAGCTAAATATTTGACAATTTTAATAGAATCTGATCATGCAAAAATAGCACAGCACACCACGGTGTCACATAAGCTCCGCACGCCACTTCCTCCCTGCTAACACCTTCCTTACTGTGAGTCTTCTCCCACTTGTGTCAGGTGCACAGCCAGTCACCCAAATACCAAAAGGTAGCAGGCAAAGAAAAGCAATTGTGCAATTGTCAAGAATGTCAGCCTGCCAGCGAAAGACGCATCATAACTGTCTCATGGCGGTGGACTCAAAAGTACTTCTTGTTTAAAAATTATCTGTCTTCGAGTTTCCTTATCCCAGTGAGAAGATCAAAGCATCTTATCAGTCTACATTTGGATATGCAGGCGTCTCGCTGGTAAAATGGTTTGTTCCAGATTCACAGGAGCGACCTCTGTGATCCATTTTTCTGTGTCTGTTGGGCTTAACCATTTTGGACGGTTAAGCATGACATGCTTAATGCTTAATGCATCCTTCGATGTAATCATAAATCCACTGCTAACGAGAATATGCTCAACTGGGATACTTCATTTAACACAAACATATGTTTTATACACAAATGATGGTTCCTGCTACATTGATGGATAACACATCTGGGTTTCATTAGGGGATGGGAGCAAGTAAGAGATGAGGCAAATGCGGAAGGAGAAACGACTAATAAAAGACATATACGCTCTGTGTTTCATTACAGAGGCTGAGTAGAGAATAGCTGTGGACAATAACTCTGGATGGAATAAATCCATTCAGGCAGAGAACTGCTTACACTGCTTCAATAAGCCCTGCAATGCATCACAAGAGCCTTGATCCTTGTTTCAAACTGTCAGTGGAAAACTGATTCCAGTAAAGAGCTCAACTTAATCTCTATTGAGTAATTTATCCCTGACACAGTTGTAGTAGAGCTATCAGCCCCATGCAGCGTTCAAGGCCAGAGATACAAATATGTTTTGGAAAAGAAAATAGCAAGCCATAAAAAAAACAATGGGATTTGCTAGAAAACAAATTTTAGTCAACTTAGGCTGTTAAAGTCCATTAGTCTCCTGACTTCCTGTTTAGGATGCCTTTTTGCTCTACTCACTCATTCATCCTGTGGTCCTGGATGTGCCGGTGGAGGGAAATCTTATCACTGAGAAAGATATTGATGGCGTAGCGCTCCACGCTGTCCTGCTCCTGTTTCTTCTCCTCAGGACTGAGGGTGAGGTGCGTGGCCCGACCCCACTCGCCATGTGCATTGCTGTCTGGTGGTGACTTGATGTAGAGGGGTCTAGCCAGCTGTCCATCAGCCCCGCTCTCCTCTATGGCGAGCTGTCTCGCCACGAGATTGTGGTCCTCGTCTTCCTCGTCCGCGGAGGAGGAGGAAGGGACAGAGGAGCGTGCTAACAGGACGTAGCCCAGCCACAGCAGCCACAGCAGGAAGCCAGCCTTGGCCAGCACGCCCAGTTTTCGAAAGCAACGCCCCCTCATGACAGAAAGCCCCAGGGAGGCACCGGGACTGGCTGAGCTTCGGGGTGCCCGACAGGACACAAAGTCTCTGGAGAACAGAAAGAGACACAGAGTGAGATAAAAAAAAATACATGATTATGGTGATTTTCATTTAACATGACAGAAACTAAATGGGGAGGGAAGGAAAGTGTAGGTTTTGTGTGAAAAATCCAACCGTGGCAGCAAGTAACTACCAGTGACAGGAGGAGATTTACACGGAGCTCTTTAATCAAGGCTCTCCCCATTAGATAATAAACCCACACAATTCACAATTACGTTAAGTTACTCACCTAAACACTTACATCCAAGAAAGATAGTGTCTGCCTCCAAATTCACAAATGGCCCAAAGACTCCCCTCCAACAGACCAGACCAGTAGTAATCAACACCAACATCAGAAATATAATCGCTTGCTCAGGGTTGCATTGAGATGCTCATTAAATACAAATCGCAAAGATGGAAGAGGCTGAACTGTGGCGCACGGTACAGTAAGTAAGTAAGTAATATGCTGAATAAATTGAGTCTGTGATGCACTCCAATGAGAGATGCATTAACCTGATAAACTTCATTACACAGTGCAGTTTTAGTCACGCTGCATAACAGTGAGTCGTAAATAAGGAAGTGTTTTTTACCCAAACTGTGCTGCACACTTTCCCTATGTCATGTAATCAGTCAGTTCACGTTTGTTCATGTCAGTCCACGAAATCATCAGATGCCCCCCCCTAAATATTTTATCCATTTAAGCTACAAAGGGGATATCTTCTGAACAATGTTGACTTGATGAATCACATTGTCAGTGGATGTGTAGCAACCAGATTTGTGCTTGAGCACACGCAACACAGCATAGCCAGCGCTTGCACGATATCTTTATATCAGATTACTCATATCTCAAAAACAGTGTGACAGTAATCAGACAGTCAGGTCTAAGCAAGCCTTTTGTTTACACTGTGATGAAGAATCAGAGTTTTCGAAATGTTCTTTATTTTAAGATTTCCATTCCCCTCCACTGATCTAAAAAAATAAAGTGGGAAAACCAGGGCTGGGATATTTGCACGAGCACAGAACCCTTTTTTCTGATTTAAAAACAAAGGATTAACCTGGGTTTGTAGACACACGAAGACAGCAATTTAGACATTTGTGTCTGACAGTCAAGCTTAGCATGCCAAGATTTGAAAGAGTGCTGCAGTAAAAACAGACCACTTTGCTATGTTGACACTAAACTGAATGTAATCACATAATTGTGTTGCATTAATATTAGAGCAGGGTGCCATTTACACAAGTGCCAGGCAGTGCCAGCCAGGGTTAGCTGCAATACTCATGCGCAGACAGACACACACACAGACCCACCCACACACACACACACACACACACACAACTGTCCTTCCCACTTCCTCACACCGAACACAATGATGGTTAATTCCTAGTTGTGCTAAAATTCCGGGAACAGCTCGACTTTAAGACGCTTCAGAGAAAACGCTGTCAAATGAAAGTGAAAGGATAGTGTGCAAAGTGCCATGTGAGAGTCTATATATCTATGGTACAGAGGAAACTCAATTTCCACTGCGACTCCTTCAAGGCAGCAGCACAGCCCTTTCACTCCAGTCTGGGCCCCGGCCAGAGGAGTCTGGAGTCCTGAGGTTACAAAATGGAGACGCCTGCAGACAAAACCCCCCTTTATTGGCTGTCCATCACACCTTCCACTCTCTCTGAATCTGATAGCCCTAGTGGGGAGCTGTTTGGAACGAGCAGGAGGCGACGGAGGCCTAAGATGCAGCTTAAATCCTGCCCCACTTTTTGGCTGAGAGGGAATGAAACAACCACCCCCCCCAAAAAAAAAAAAAAAACCTCTTTGCTGTCGAAGGCGACTTGAGGGTTCATTTCCGCTGTCTCTCTCTTTTTTTTTTTTTTTNNAAAAAAAAAAAAAAAACAGGCCAGGGATAAGGTTTGAATTTGCTTCCCAAAGCTGCAATCTGTGGTGCATGTTTCACCCCGTCACGCTGACAAGACTTTAAAAATAGAGCGCGGTGAAAAAGATGGGTCAATAATTTATGTTATACAGACGAAACAAACGAGGCTTGATGTTGGGAGTCACTTGACTCTCAGATGTCAGCACGGACGTGGACTGTGTGGCACATGAGTTGCTCTCCATGGTGTGGAATGAGCGGTCCGTTCTGTATAATGTGCAACGCATGGCTCATTTCCTCATCAGCCAGTCAGGAAAAGTAGGACACATAGCTGTAATGCTATATATATATATATATATATATTGTTATATGTGCAATACCCAACAAGCACCAGTGGAACAGGTTATAAGAAAAGAAGTCTCTCTCTCCACCGACACCACCGGTTGGTCCATTTCACTTTGTGCAAAGACCTGTAAGACGGGATCAATGACACAAACATCTCTGCTGGTTACATTCTGTGTATACATTACTGACAGCAGCAGCAGTTTAAAAAAAAAGGCTCTGATGAGTGATGAGAGGCTTAACTTAAAAGCTGCATGGTGATTTCTTTTCATCACAAGGGCTCTGACACACGCCCAAATAAACCCAAACAGACTTGAACTGCGCTATAAAACAGAGAGCTTTTGCCAAATGCTGCTTCACTTGAGCAGAGGGGGATGCCAAAAAAAAAAAAAAAAAAGCTCCTCCATGAAAGCAAAAGTCTAACCACCATATTTATGCGGTGTGATATGTCTACGGCCTATCTACTGATCTCACCTTTATCTTTAGGACATTATCTTCTCTGTCTGATTCATGAGGAAATGTGTTTCACAGGTGTTGGGAGGAAAATAACAGACTGAAGAGTGAAAACAGTCACAGTTCAGCAACAGGTCCATCCTCGTACGTCAAAGGAAATCAATGTTAGGATAACAATTGGGGTTTCTAAACTGCAGAGAGGGTGAAAGCTCGGACAAACGTGCACCAGTGACCCAGAAGAACAATGACAATCTCAACTTTCGAAAGAGAAATCTACGACTAACTCTTAATAGATAAATAGTCACAGTTCATTATTAAAGTCTGCAGCAAGCGTCGTCGTCAAACACCCCAGCGCCGACTTAAACGGTGTGACTCTTACTGGTGAGCAGGCAAGGAAGTGAGGGGTTCATATTAGTGAAGTTACGCTAACAAGCAAACTCTACTTTGTGCATAACGTAACCTACGTGACAGCAACAAAATCACACTTCTGTCTCTCTCTCTCGAAAAAAGTACGAGGTTAGCTTGTAAGGGCTTACCTTTACAACAAGTTACATGTCTCGGAGTTTCTTCGAGGTTGCTAAGGCCGTTGTTTGTCAGCTTGACTACGGTCGTCTTCCAGTTAAACCTCTGGCTTGCAGATGTCAGCATACCCACATCCTCTCCTCCACGTTGGGCTTCTGACCTGTATGTGTCAAGGCAGCCGGAAAAATCAAAACGGGTTCCGGTAAACCCTTTCATAATAAAACAATGTGCCGCGGGGGGCTCGCTTAACAAGGGAGAACTAAGAACTAACTTAACAGTTCAACGAGTTTAACGAACTAAGTTACATCAGAAAGTACAAATACTAATGTGTTTATAAATACTACAATAAATAAATACGTTTTGAGTTCTTAAAGTATCTTCTTACCTTGCTAACTAACGTTGACTGTTAAAAAAAATACATAAATATACAAATAATTATTCACCCTGGCCACTATTGAAATGGCACTTGCCTGACATTTAGTGTGCAATTTGCATTTGCTTATTGCTTCATATTGCTGTTTCCTCATACCAACTTCCTCATATTAAAAAAAAGAAAGAAAGAAAAAAAACCTTTACTGTACCGTACTTCCGGCGTTGGTAGCACCATCTCCCGTTAGTTTGACGCAGCACTCTATGCTAACGACTGTTAGCTGTCATTAGTGTCTGCTGCGATTTGCCTCCAGCTATTTACACCAAAGATTTTTTTTAATGACTTATTCAATCAGCGTGCACTCTGTGCCGAAGTGCGAATGTTAACTTTAATCTTAAAAAGTGTAGCTTGAAAACTTTCAGACGTGAGTTTTGAGTTTTAAAAACTTAAGTTTTAAGTGAACAAAAGCTGCAATAATTCAGAAATATTCAGAACATCCACATGACTTACTTTGAAACCAGTATTTCAGGTGCTCTCGACTCGTTTGAAAACACTCCAAACATTTCACATTGGTGTCAGTTGAAGTTCATCCTTTTCTTGACAGGGGTTTCTATACATTTCTTAAAAGATCTGTCAATTCATTAAATTACAGGGTTACTTAAACATAGGCCTACCCTAATCTGTAGCATATGTATGAGCTCACAGTAGAGTAGAAGGGTGTTACTGTACACCATAAAGACAATGTACAATAAACACAATTTAACACAATTTAAATGTGTTTTTTGAACAGCAGCTACAACTTGCATTGTGCTTACAAGTGATTTATTGTACAGAACATGGATTACTTTAATCAAGATCTTTAAACAAGGAATTACTTTTGTTCAATAGATTGACTAATGTGATAGATCAGGCAAATTAAGTTTATTTTCAGATTTTTCCTCATGTATGATTTATGGGCTGTGGTTAAATCACGTAGTTTTACTTGAGCTTGAGATTAAAAAAATTTAAAGTCACAAAGTCCTGTCTTGATGTTCACAAGCATGCTGAAAGGATCTATTCGGCCACTGCATGAATGAACAATGCCACACACACACACACACACACACACACACAAACAGCCCTTCCCTCTGTGTGTGTTTGCCATTATAGGCTTGGTTTGTTTTCTCATAGTCTCTAGGTCCTGCTCAGGCCGGACCACACTTGCCTAGAGTGTGCAATGCACTATTGCAGCCTGTTGTTAGGCAGACACCTGCACAACTTGGTAACTTGCCAGTGTCTTTTATTCCTCCCTCTTTTTCCTTCTCCTTTCCTCCCCAGTTGAAACCAATTGACACCTCTTTCTGTGCCCCCATCCGGAACTGAAAAGGGTCCCGTTTCTGTGATAGGGATCTGGAGCTTTCACAGCTACAAGGAGGGCTCTTGTACAGGTCTTGTGTTTTCAACCTTTCCCCCATTCAAACTATGGATTATTTTACAGATGCCCTGTTTTTCCTTCATTCCTAAATGGCAAAACCCATTCATCGATTTGAAGTCCAGTGTTTTCCTGCACGGCAGAATTGCTTGTGTATTGAAGGTAATAGAGTTTCTACTAAACCACCGTACATATGGATTTTTGTCACGGCTAAAGCTTAACTCAACTGGTTCTTTGTCCCACTAAGTTGCTCCAAAATTAAACAAAAGTCACCTTTTTATTTTCTTGACATCAGAGCTATTCCAGTGTTTTTGTCCCTTTTTAAATAGGTCTGTAGAGGCTTTTGATTTGTTGGTCAGCGTCCGACTAAACCTATCACCGTCCTTTATGATAATCTGCAGTTGGATTCAGCTCAGCAGCTGCAGAGCTTATGATTGAGATCTCTCTCATTTGACCGATTTGAAGAACATGAGTGAAGCGGATTTGAAGAACAGTCAGTATTTGACCCGGTGCCACAGGCGGTAAGATCAGATGAGAGCAGTTCAAGTAAAGAGCACCATCTAGTGACTGCATGGAATATCCTATTTAATTACCTTTTTTACCCAGCATAGCAGTAATGCCTTACCACTTTGATGGGAATAACAATTTAACCCAAGCTGAACTGAACAAATACAAAGGGAGGTTGCCCTCAAATATCTTTGTGGTTAAATCCCTCTGGAGCCAATTTGGACTCAAAATGTTGTGTCCTGCTCTCTGTCCTGAGTCCCCCCCCCATCTCCTTCTCCACTCTACTGCAATATAAGACAAAAAATAAACCACTAACGTAAAGTGAAACATTTATCCCTCTTTTTTAGAGGACAACATCTCAAGGTCTATGCTATATGGATGAAGGGTTCATATCTTGAGCTGTAAAACACATGTAAGATTGATGCATCACTTCTGGTTTCTGTCTCCCGTTAATGAATTTCATTTCGTTTGAGCAAATCATCTAACCTCTACAATTAGAAGCAAAGAGCTGACATGTGTGCCGAGTTTGTGAAAAGACTAATAAAGTGCCAGACCTACACAACAGTGATGCAAGGAATGTGTGGCCGGGCCTTTTGCTTCTCTACAACGCTATTCAATTATAGCTCTATTCACATCTGAACTGACTTAACTGTTGGGCCAATGATTTCATTAGCTGTGTGTCCTTTGTGCTTGATGTTCATTTACTCCGTTCGTGCAATAAATCATAGTGAATAGAGGTCACATTGTGGTACCAGGCTCCTTTAATTTAATGGAGATGGGATTCTGGCCCACACTCCCTTAGCTTATTAGCTCCCCATAGAGCAGAAGACACAATGACCTTCAACCATAAGGGCTGAATATGGTTATCAATTAGTGATTTTGATAGTGAAGGTTTTGCCTCTTTTATGACCTTGGTCACGATATGAATGAATGGCCTATTATTACACACACCAGTCAGATCTCACTCATTGAACCATGTGTCCCTAAACTGAAGGGTGAGAATATCTGTCTAGAAATGCATCATTATGTTCACAGTACTGTTTAATATTTTACATTTTGTCCCTCGGAGGGGTTGGCAAGTCTGCAGCCTGTTTTGGAGGTGGGTGTATATACATGAGTGGTTTAGACTGAGACACACAGGGAGGGAGAGATGAAGACAGCAACAAAGGAAATGTTCTGGACAAACAAAAAAAAATAATAATGTTTGATCTTTATGGCCAAAAAAGACGTGATAGATGAGGGACAATGTAAAAAAAATAACGATCCATTCTGCTCAGATTCTGTTGCTGTGAATCTGACACTGTTCACCTTGTAGGGAGAGTTGTGCACAGCATTTACAGTGTGTTGAATGGTCAGAGATAACACAATCGGCACGCCCCTTTCAGTTCTGTGCCAGAGACTGCTGTTGTGTATGTGTGTGAGACATCTCAATCAATCTGAGCTCGTGGTGCTTTGTGCAGGGCAGTTTCTACAGTATGTCATATTTACAGAATTTGGATGAAGAATAAAGGTTGCATAAGGCCTTTGAAAATGTGTTTCTTTATAAAAATGTAACATCCATTAAATTACATTATTACATTACCGAAAGATGGCATTAGAGATCAATGAACTGTTTTATTCCCAAGTCTTAACTTAAATCAATCACTTAGTCTAAAATGTGGCCATAACAGACCATTAAATTATATGTGTTCATTTAAAACAGGTTATTTTCAAAATGTATCTAATGTGTTAAATTTTACATTTGTGTCCAGGCATTTTTTAGATCCACCCTTGCTTTGTGTGGATGTGGTTTGATCAGATTTGATTGACCATAGCTGTCAGAATGAGTAAACAACCAAACAACTGCAATCAGATGCTGATTCATAAAAAATATGTTTTCAGAACCTTTAAGTAGAAATTTAGTTTGATCACCTTATTGGTTTCTGGTTCTACATCAGAACTTCATGTTTAAAGAAATGGGTGATTGTGGAAAGAGTGTAATTTTTATGTGAAAGAGCATGTGTAGAGGAAGTAAATAAATAATATAGACACTTCATAAAAGTTCTAAGTGAAGTAACTTAATCACCACTCACTATTGTTGAGTCATATGGATGTACAGTATGTAACATTTTAGATTCTGTATATTTTCTGATACCTCTTAAATAGATACAACTTGTGATCTCTGCTCTTCATTGTTGATGCAAATGATCTGGTCTTTGGAGTGCTATTAGTTGTTCTGTGAAATCAAATTGCCATATGAGAGATCTCATACCATGAGCTGACCATTGCTGCTAATGAGCAACCTAGCTCTGTAGCAGTGTGTGTAATTGGCCTATTTCCCTATATTTCCCATTTGTAAAAACACAGGTGTAAACGATAATATGAATGACAAGTCAGAATATCTGCTGTGAAAAAGGTGCCATGTCACTCTTCTGGTAGC